ACACACACACACACACACACACACACACACACACACACACACACACACACTTTAAATCTATAAAACTGCCTCCCAGCTTTGCTTTTTACCGTTGTTAAAATAAAGCTTCTACAAAACCAGAAGAGTCGAGAGTTAAGGATAAGGAACGCTAAGTTTGCGCACACAGTTATTGCAAACAGAAAGTAGACAGAATTATCAGTAACTTTCATGGCTGCCAGTAAAATGTTCATATGTTAAAATACATATTGTAGGAGGGCTGATATATGCAAATAAATGTACGTACTTCACATAAAGAGCTTCGGCTGTAGAGTTTGAGCAGCTTTCTGCGCGCTGTAGGTCGATGTTACTAAAAACAGGACCCGCACATAGCCTACCGCTTCAACCTCGGGTCACTCAGTTTTATAGGGTGACTACCGGTCGGGTGTTTTTGGAGGGAGCACAGACGAACTCCCGCAGCTGTCCGACGCCTGTCAAGTACAACTGAAAAAGGCGCGATAGCGTCCTTTACAGCTACCAAACACAGTTAGATTATAGAACCATGAAACTGTAATTACAGAACAATACGCTGAAAGTAGATCCACAAACATAAGCGCTCCGGCGAGCAGACGTAACTTAGAAGGAGACGGTGAAAAAAAAAGCTGAGCTCACCACAGTAGTTCGCTTATCGGAGACACGCCCCGCACACAAACTGCTACCTTTAAACGTGTCACGCACATAAAGGAATTATAAACATTTTAATTTTTACTCCACTGACTTGTTTTGGTTCATCACACGTCACCTCGCTCGCAAATTGCCACTTCAGTCAAATAATACAATACGCGAAAATACAATATTTTATTTTTCAAAATAAAATACTGCATAAAAATTACACCACAGCGGATCCAAAAGAAAGAGAATTTAAGAAAAAGACTAGGCTCTGTGGTTTTGCGGCGCTCAGACAGACACCTTCCAGTGGCGACACTGGCTAATTCTCTGTGACCTCCGTGTTTAATGTGGAAAAACAGGTGGTTTGTTTTGAAGGTGGCCCCCAACTCACTTCCGTGTCTCGCCTTTAGACGTCTGGCTTGATTCGGGCTTCTGAAAAGAAGGAAACAAAACAGACAAAGCGTCGCATAAATAGCTGCTAAACTAGAGGGAGCTGTTGAGATTGTGAGATGGGTTGGCCGGCTGGAGTTACCTAACTCCACTCATAAAGTGATGATGTTGCTATTTAAACAAACCTAAGAGTGTAGCAGATAATTAGAATGAAGTAGAGAGCTAAATATCAAAATGATGCCAATCTAACTTTAATTGTGAAAGAGACACTAATGTAAGAAATTTCATATTAGTTATTTTAATTAAACTGATTTTTAACATGACCTGCTCAAAAGTCGTTTACCGCAGTCTGTGGCCAAGACGAATGCAGCTGTTATTTGTTGGTGCAAGTGTCAGAATATTTATAACATGCAATACTTTGAAAAAGTTTCAAGCCGTCCTTCGTTTTTAATTTTTTTTCTGGAAAAATAGGAAATAAGTCAATGTGTAAACATTGACTTCATGTAAACATGAAGAGGATTAGGGCCCCTGGGAAAAAAAAGAATTCTGACTTTAATCTCAGAATTCTGAGATTAAAGTCAGAATTCTGAGATTAAAGTCAGAATTCTGACTTTAATCTCAGAATTCTGAGATTAAAGTCAGAATTCTGAGAAAAAAAGTCAGAACAACAACGTGTAAGGTTAAAAACAAAAAGTTTAGATGTCTGCCGTTTAACCCAAATCCAGCAGAGGGCGCTCCATTGCAATCAAACGATGCGTGATGATGTGCATGTGGCGTTCCATACATGTAAGTACGGATGTAGTATCATGGTCTTTACAGGATTTATATCTGACTTTGCTATTTTAACACAAAGGTCTGTTTTTTTTCTAAAAGAAAGGTCCTAAACAGGAATCCCAGCTTTACTGTAAATATTAAGTTTAACTCAATGCAGCACTCAGTGTGTTTCATCTCAGTTGTTCAATGTGTGGTCCTTTGTCTTCTTAACTTTATCTAGTTATAGTGGCTTCTGAGAATAAATTATGCTCACATTTATTATCCTCTGAAACCCAGAATTTAATTTTTGTCCTCTGTTGGGGACATTTATATGATTTATGAGTCCTGCTGCACTGTCAATGTGATATCCAGGGCTTTCAATTAACAACACATTTGTGGGGGTTGAGCTAACAGACTACATAGACTTTCTTTTCAAAATGATGGGAATTGCAGCGTGCACATTTTATGTCCAGATGGGAAACAGATACCTTGTTTTGCTGATATTATGATTCTATTGCCAAAACTCAAATTGTTTCAATTTGAAACTCTTAGTGGTTATGTGTAGGATTTCAGAAATGTACCACCATTTCCAACCTATATGTCCTCACTTCAGAAAGCAGAGGGCAGGGTGAAGCAGATTTTACTTGAAAGTGTGGAAGGGAAGTCAGACTTACTGCTTTCATGAGGTAGAGGAAGGCGAGACATTAGAACAGGAAGGTGAAAGCTCAGAGGAAGACATATAAGCTTTTAAGGTGCCTTAGCATGAACAATGTGCTGCCACCCATACCATCCATAATAACAAGTATTAATTGTACGGCTCACATGCACGCATACGCAGGCACGTGCGCGCGTGCACACACACACACACACACGCACACAAACGCTTTCTTTATCCTTTTTGATTAATAGGATATATGATAAAAATGCTTTGAATTGTGAGCCTCCCGTCTTTGTCAGTTAACTTTCAACAACACTTAAACCGGATTGACTCCCTGCACAGGTCAGTGTGTATATGCCAGTTGAGAAACCAAATTTCACAACTTCAGAGCCCTAGCTTGTACACTACTTCTTACCCACAATGGACTTTGGAGGCCATCGTGTTCCCTCTTTTCAGGCTCAAAAGCTGGTACGTCCTCATCTGAGCCTTTACTTTCTTACTGTAATGTTTGACCCTCCTCCACCTCGTTTGTATGACTACACTTTCACCATTCTAAGTAAAAGAGTAAGGAAATCCCCTCAAAAATAATTTGAGGTGTAATAAAATGACATAATTCTGTAATCAAGCCAGACCTGATGTCAGCTACAAGGTACAGAAGATTAAAAAAAATAACAACCTCTTCTGAGGTTTCTCTTTCCATCATCATACCCAGAACATCTCAGCTCCAAACTTTGTGTCAGGGAGTTTTTTTTACACTATATATGGTATTTTCCCACACTCTTATTTCCTAAAGGGCCATAACAGCAAGTGTATCTGCGTATTTGATATGGCTGTTTTTGTTTTTGTTTTTAAACTTGTTTGTTTTGTTTAAATGCCAAATACCCTGATGCACTTGTCCCATCGTGTCTAGACATGGGACAGTACCAACCTGGGGCTCTTTTGCACGCATGCAATTTTCTAAAATAAAAAATTCACCAAGAAAAACAAAGAGCTTTACTTTGTTTCCAGCTAAAAGAACACAGTTTTATCAGGCTGGTTGTGGACCCTGAAAAGAAATACACATTACACATTGAACATTATGTATCCTTTTCCTTTTATTTCACAATTATTATTATTTGATACATTTTGGTATATAGAAAATAATTAACATCAAAGCATATCTGCAGAAGATATAAGAGATATATTAGAGACACAGAAAGAATCTTGACAGTGCATTCTGAAGGAAATGGTGGCAGGTGTGATGCTAAAAGTAGAGCCACTTTGCAGCGTGCAAACACAGCTACGACAGCTACCTTTCCTGACTTATAGCTTCTCTGAGGTTATCTTAAACAAGAATGTAGGGTTGTAAAACACAAAGCACATAACAGCGTTTCCACTTAATTTAAGTGACATAATAATAATGCATGTAATTTGAAAATGCCATTATTGATCTAAAAGGTGTTTTGGTTGTATGTTAGTGAGTTTCTGAATCTTAATTTGCTGAGCTGTAAAAAACGAAACAAACAAACAAAAAAACCCCCAAACAAACAAAAGACTTAACACTTTAAAAAAATATAAAATCTTAGAAATGTGCAGTGTAATATGTGCAAAATGAGAAAAAATGTTTCAGACATAAGCACACATTTTGAGCAAAAATCTGCTATGTAAACAAAAGAAAAGTAAACATTTTAAATGCAAACTTATTTTATTGCTAGTCAGGTTAAAGACTATTCCACTATAATTCTTTTTAAAATATTTGTGAATCAGTTTTAAGCATAAGACACATTTAGAGCAGGATTAAAATCTGCCAACAAAAACAAACAACACTACATGCTGTTGTCATCCGGTCTCCTGTCTGGACATTCCCAGTACTCATGCTACAACAGTGAAATCAAGATGTAAAAATACTGGCGACTATCAGTGCTGCCCCTCAGGCTCCATGACAGGAGGACCAACACAAAGACGGACAACAAACAGAAACAATCTGAGGACTTAAATACACCGGATTAGGAGAGGATGGACAACAGGTGGAAAGACATCAGGAACAAATCTGACAAAACAAGGGAAGCCAAACTGAACATAACACACATGAGATAAGGTACTGTCAAAATAAAACAACAAGTGACACTCACATAGAGACCCAGGCAAGAACATGTAAGCAAAGGGAGACGAAACTCAGAGACACGACTAGGGAGACACAGAACGAGGGTGAGAGTGAGGGACAGAGAGGGTGAGGGAAACCAGACACACACACAGATGCCCACATGCCTGTGGAAACGGGCAAATAAACAAGACAAGACAGACTCTACTGGGTGGCCAAATAACGCAGGAGATACTGAGGAGGACACGCAGAGGCATTACCAAGGCAAACAGGACCCGAAAGGAAAAAAAAATCAATAGACATCAGGGCTTCAAACTGAACATAAGAATAGCAATAACTCTATAAAGAAAGAACAAGACCAAACACTGCAAAAACACATTCTACAAAATACGTCATGGACCTAAATAAACTCAAAGCTGTGGGACAATGAACCAGTACCATGACAGTAACATCATCATGATCACATGAGAGTATGTTTCTCTGTTCATCTTCCCTAAACTGACTGGTTCTCTACACCCATCATCTGTTTCAGCTCATCGTCTTCATCATACAGATACTTACAGATATCTACTTTTAACCCTTTTGGGTGAGCATATGTCACCATGATGCATGTGTGGAATGTGAGAGTCATTTTTATATATAAACATCTGTTTGTCAGTTACACAGAATAACATCCTCCAGCCCTTGAACTCATGACATGAAACTGAATTCACTTCCTCTCAGGAGTGTAAAGTTGTTCTACTTACATCTGAGTCAAAATCTGTT